TAGTAATGTCAAAGAGAAGTTAAGAAACATACTTCCTTGGATAACAGATAAGCTTCCCCAGTTAAATAATGATCACAAAGGCTCGTACAAGTATCAGTAAGAAGATATCAAAGATAAAGTATGGTGCATCAAATAAAAATATCGCAGTGATGGTGATGAGATCGAACATTTTTCCGACTGCATTGGAGTCCTTAAGCGAAAGTTTGCAATTGATTGATGAGTCACCCACCAAAATGAAAAGGACCCTACAAGCAAAATGAAAGCAACTGAAAATGCTCTGAAAACAAGAATTCTTAATATACCTGAAAATATTACTTCAAGTGTGGTTTCTTGAGTGCCTGATGATGAGATTATAAAACGAAAAGAAAAATTTCATGATTCATTGACTTCAGAAAATTGAAAGGTGACTGTTCTTCCTAAGAGTTGGAGTGGCACACTTGGACTCTAAAAAGGCTTGCAGCAACCATGAAATTATTAAATTATGTAGGAATGGGCTTAGTCCAATATGCACAACATCAGTTTTGATTTTGTCACACAAAGCAAATACATAGAAGATGGAAGGATTTTGCCCAGTCAGTTTACAACAACTGAAATTGTACATGGGCCTCAGTAGCTCTGTATATTCAAGCTGATTAAGAAAGGTATACATAACAAAAAATTATTCTGCTTCTCCTAATTATACACAGAATTGTGTGATTAGTATGCTAAAAGGCATATTTGAATTGGAAGACATCACAGGATTTGTGTCATGAATATAATAATTTTCAGTATTTAGGGTATGTATTATCCCTCTGAGGAATCAAATGACATGAAAATAAGTCTTCCTCATGGGCCCTATTTACTATACATATATCTAGCTGTGCCAGATATTTTGTGACTTCCTCAATCAGCAGCTCTGGCAAAAGGTAGTCCTAATACTGCAACAGGATGTACATACACATTAACCCTACAGTGTGGCTTCATGTATTTAAATGCCCTGTATGCAGTTCCATGTACAACATACTTTCTGCTGCAGGCTTTATTTTTCTACCCTTTAGCTGATGAAGGAAATTCTCTATTGAAATACAAACAACAAACTCCGTGGCCTGTGGTCCACAAGTGAACTATACTGAGTGAGCAACTGCTGTTTGTCAGCGAAGTTAGTGCCGAATTTTGCGGATAGAAGGTGCTGCGTGGTCAGTGCAACAGATCCCCACACCCGGTAATCTCAGTTTTCTAGACTGGAGCTGCTATTTCCTTGAAATAGCCCCTCAGTTATCCACATGAGGCTGAGTGAACTCCATTCCAGACCCACTACTTCTCAGAAAATCTGGTAGCGCCAGGAATCGAACCTGGACCTCTGGATCTGTAGCCAGGAACTCTTTACCACTAGACCATGGAGGCGGTTGGGGTTTGCATCATGCTGTGTAAAAATGAATGTCTCCTTTTTTACATGTCAGTGACATTAGTTACCATGCAGCTGACAACTCAGACTCAAATCAAAAGTTTGACAACAGTCTTTGTGGCTGAACCATGAGCCATCTGTGGACACTACAGAGTTTGAAATTAATGAAGCTGTAAATGAAGTTTTGGATGATGATATGGGACAGTGTAGTTCAGGTGATGATAGTTACTTTGATGATTATTACACCCACTTAATGATTCCTGGAACACACTTTTTGAATAGTGGAAGTGTAAGTGATGGTGATGAATAACGAAGTGTGGCATGTGATGAATAAGGTGTAGGAATGGGAGGGCAGTCAGTGAAGTTTGTGTGGCAAGATATAAGCACATTGTCTGCTTAATGGAAAGCATTGTGTGGTATCCATGGCCCACATTTTGACATATCTAATATGGTTAAAATGGTCATATTTGAAATAGTTTTTGAACATCTCTGACAAAACTAACAAACTATCAGAACCCTGTGAATCTAGCATGGGCTGTGTTTGTTGTTTCGTTGTTTGTGCAGTGCATAGCACGGAACTGACAGACAAAACATCAGTGATTGTTATAAAGCTGCTGGAACATCATCTTGATCATGGCCACATTCCATAGAGGGGGAGTTTTTTTATTGTCTAGAAATGACCCAGTTTTTGAAATCCAAAAGCACAGACTATGTAGATGTTTTACATACCACCAGGAGCAATTCCCCCACTTTTGTGAAGAACGAAGAAGGATGAAATACTGAAGAGGGAGAGCACACATCTGATGGGATCAGAAAGGAGTTACCACAATTTTGATGTCCCAAAAAGACAAAATGTGCTCCAGAGTAAATAAAGCAGTGAGTGGAGAGACAGACTCCGTAATTGTGTATAGCTACATCCATAACATGGGAGCAATTCATCTCTGATATCAGATGGTACAGCCTTATTTGCTTCATTGAAAGGAAGGTGCTAAGTGGCATATGAAATTATTCATAAATTTATGAATATGAAGAATTCTTAAGAAACATGTTGCTTTAAGTTGCCGCTGTAATAGAAGTGAAGGACAGCCCCAACTTGATGTTTTAAATGTGCATGCGCACATTTTGAGAAATTCAGGGTCAAAGGTTAAATTTGAAGACCTTGAAAACATACCTGTGTTGAATATGTTAGTTTAATAGGTCATTAGAAAGGACATTTTGTTAGCATAGGAATGACCATAGACTGAGCTTTGGGTGGGTGTTGTGCTGCCACCTCTAAGATAACTTGTGCCCAAAAGACAAAAGTTCCCCACTCCCAATTTGGAAGTCTGCTGTCAGAATTATAGCAGCCACAGAGCAGTAAAATTTGGCAGGAATACTCGCCTACATTGGGGACTACAATCTCACAAAAAAAAAATCATTAAACTCTGAAGGGGACAGGTTGGAAGTGTCTCCATTCTATGTTAATTTTATGTGGAATGTTCCTGTTCAAATGCTCTCATGGCTGAAATGACGGCATTTGATTAAAACTGTGCCCCATTTTCTAAAAGTACAAATTTCCCCAAAACTATCTGATGAAAGTATAAATTAAAAAGTATCAAAGGGAACAAGGCATTCATGGTGGCATTACAGAAATTTGTATTCCGTAATTTGTTGTATGTAAAAGACCGGTGTATGAACCTGTTCTAAGGAAATCAAAAAAGCAGGTGTTACTTTTATTCACCTGTCTTCTGCTTTGTTGCACAGCAAGGTGCTGCCCTCACACTCTAGTGTGATAATCCATGAAGTAAGCAATAATGTTCAAGCCAGTGCCATATGTTTGACATGAGGAAGGTGTACAATTATCTCCTGTGAATAAAAGAGATGCAACACTACAGTTGCTTCCTCAGGGTGATTAGTGGTTGTTGCTGCTGGCTACCAGGAAGTTTATTTTTGGTATAGGCTCATACCTTTCTGAATGAACGTGTTTGACATTCTGTGACTTGGTTACAAAACGCACTGTCATAGTCCTCAGCAGTTCCGGGTTTCATACTGTTAACATAATCACAGAAATTTCCATTTAATGGAGGATATTCATGCACATATTTATAGTTTATATAGCAACACTGCCAGTAGCTCAGAATAAAATGTTGAATGTTAGGATGATTAGTGAATAATTATTAGAAATGAAACAGTTGTGATCTAATTTTAGGTACTACCCAACCATGTGTCTGAAGGGACTGAATATAACTACAAAGGTTCTTAATCAGTAGTCAGACTGACAGCATCTCAAATACAAGTCAGAAATGTTATGGCTTGAGCAAGCTTGGTGTATAACGTGCAGCAGTAATTTCCATCTTTTGTTTGATGTTTGCTCACCTATGCTTGTGGTTTGTATAGTGACTGTGTCAGTAGCTCACAGTATGAAGCTTTGAACAGTAGGATGGTTGGTGAATAATTATTGGATGCAGAAGGAAATGATCATGGTCCAAGTTGAAATACAATCCTGGCATTTGCCTGGAAGGACTGTAGAAAACAATTTCATTTAATGTAGTAACTGTCCCATCAGAATTTTAAGTGATCACTTATCAAATACAGATTAGAAATGTGATGGCTTGACCCAGTTTTCTTTGTAGGGAGCATACTACTCAGGATATAAACATTACCGTGTTTCCAAACTGGAGCTGTTAGGTAAGCCCTAGTCCAGAAATGAATTGAATATTGCTGTTATTCATGACTAATTCCCTCTCCCCTTCTCTGTAACCTGCCAGTTTTCCACCTTTGCTCATTTCTGTCCTGGATATGGAGCTGTATAACATGCCACATTCTCAGCTTTGCTCACTTGTGCCCTAAAGATGGAGGCAGTTTATTCCTCTGAAATGTTGGTACCTGTCTACCAAACTGCACAATGTCATGACCATGGGAACCACAGTATGTATGTAAGTGAAATTGTTCTAAATTTACCAGAACTCCTTCAGAGATTCTAATGAATTGTGTTCAGTCTTCTGTAATTAGTGCCAAAAACAAGTGCATCTCAAGTACTGTCATGTCAGATAGAGGTTAGGATCCTTCTATAAATTCCAAATATTTGTAATACCTTACTGCCTCATCCACCTATAGTTGAACTACTGTGGTCCTTGTTGACATGAGTTCTCAAGCCACATTGTCTGCAAGGAGAGAAGTGAACAACCCCGATGCATTCTTTACTTGGCTTTGTCCCAAAAGTCCTGCTGCTGAAATGCAAGAATGGAAGTCATGGTATAAGTCTGCATAATGCAGTGCAACAACCTTAGTTTAGTAATGAAAGGCTGAATGAACTGCAGACATAACAGAAACCATATTTTCTGTACTTGTAAATATAAATATCATCTGAGTTTATCCTTGACCACCTTCAACTCATTCATATTTCACAGCTGTCTTCTGTCAGATGATTGGAAGCATGTAGAAAATTGGTTATATTTCAGTGATGCAGTGTGAGCCATGATCCACCCACAGAAGAGATAAGAGGTAGCATGTCACATACGCACATGTTCATGTGCTGTCATGGGGTGCACAGGGCTTGCAAAACATACCTTATGCATTTGGAGTGCTGTGACGATAAAGGTTAACGTAATATAATTATTTAATATTTTGGTTTCAGAGATGGCTGCAGACAGTGATGGTGATCTGATTGAGACAGTTGTAACATGTGAAGGCGATCTCAAAGATCCTGGCTTCCCTGAGAAGTTTAAATTGATAGTGCAAGGATTACGTGATTTGCTTTGTACTGGTAAGTTATTACATATTTTTAAAATATTATTTTCAGTTTATCCATGCTGTTTATTAATGAGCTTTGCCATTCAGTATTTCATTACAATTGTCATTGTCTGAAGCTGTATGCCATGCTGCTGCCTTGTTGTCTTCAGCCATAGTTCAGAGGCCCAGTTTACACATTTCTACTTCACAGGTCTTAATTTAGTGTTAAAAGTTACTGTAAAGTGGCATACAGTAATCTTTAACTGCTATTCGAGTCAGTTTTGTGTGTTCTGTGACTTTATTTTATAACTTAAGGAGGTGATACCTGAGGTCATTTTGAGTGAAAAGCATAATATCAACATGAGTCTGCACCATACCGTAACTCAGGTAGTTGGTTACCAACTTTCCATTGTGGAGGCCTGGGTTTTGTTCCACAGGTCAGGTCATGTGGGATTTGTATTGGAGGAAATTGCACGGTTTCTTCAAGTATACTTTGCTTTCCACTGCCAGCTCTCATTCCACTAACTGCTCCACATTCATTAATCATCCTGTCATTGTAGTTATAGAGTCCCAATACTGACAGCATAATTAAATAAGAAACTGAACAAAATCATGGGTCCTGGTCTCTACAGTATTGGAGCAATGCATATTTGAAATTAAGCTTGACTTGAAGGAGTTTGTTATTGGAAGAAACATGTTTGGCAGGAGAAAAGATAAAAATGATCACATTGTACAGTGTACAAAGTCTGAAAGTAATTGTTTAAAGTGTCTGCTGTCAGCTTAGATGCTCGGCCTGTTTTGTTTCACTAGGGAACATGTGAATGTGTGAATGTTATTTAGTTAACACGTAAGTACAACATAGTGCCAGCTTTATCACTTATCCACTTGCTTTTGACTCTTCCAAGAAACATCTAAAGATGAACATATAATTAGTCTGTACAAGCTCAAACCATATCTCCTCAAGTCTAGTGGCAGGGAACTCAAATTGTGTTTTGTCAAAAGGAGATAAACAGTAACAACAGATATTTAATGTAGAAGACAATTTGACACACTGAAAGAACATATCAATAATGCATGCAAACATAACATAGAAAAGTAAACTTATTTATGTCTTTGTAGGTAACACAGAATAACAGAGTAAACCCTTCACCATAAGGATGGCTGAAAAATGCTGTTCTGCTAAGGGTAGCACTCCAAGTACTCAGAACATGCCCTAAGCAGAACTACAAACACAAAATTTAACACTATGTTACATGGAAAATAAATTTCCTTTGCATAATATCAATCAAAGAAAGCAATTTGAATTTACGTAAATTACAGTACTTGATAATACAGTACTAACCATGTCCAACTTTTCTCAGACTAAACTCTAGTATAATCAGACTTACATTTATGAGCAATAACATTGTTTACTTGCCAAATAAATATATAACATAGATCAGGTACCTCTTCTTATGCTGTAAGAGCACCTATATTACCAGTACCTAGCAGTAAGTGTGTGATGACGGCCTCTTGCCTTGACATCAAAGTGAGCAGCATCCAAACATAATTTCTGGTGTAACACAGTATAGTATGCTACTAACGGAAGTACTGAAACTGAATTTAGCATGTACCTTCCTTTGATATCAAAGACAGAGTGGGTAGAGCATAAGCAGCCCAACAAACAAGGTTCTGTCCCAGACAAGGGGAAGGGATCATATTGGCAGATAAGGAACATGATAGTAACGTGCGTCAGCTTGGGGAGAAAGGGAGGATATCAGAAAGTCACAGAGAATGGCTAGCCAAGACAGGACCTACTGAACAAGAGACAAGCTGATAGGAGTGCTGTATTGCCCACATGTAAACTTATGAAGAACTGTAGCATTACTGTCTTATGACATGAAAAATTTGTGGTAGTAATTTACCTCCTGTGCTCACCTTGCATTCATGCAACATATTTTTCAAATGTTCCCATACATGTTAGTGCAAGGGTCTGAGATTCCATGAACACAGTTTGCTTGCTCACATGCTAATAGTGTGCTGGCTTGCATAAACATGTCCATTGCATGTGCTACATTTAAAAAATGAAGGGCTCTGAAACAGTTGAGAATAGAATCATTTTTAAAATTTGTTGTTTAATGGCACTATCAGTACTGAGACCATGTAGTGTTAAGGCACTCATATTGATATAAATTCTCTCAGAATGATATCAGAAGTATCTCCTGAATGTAAGACATGAAGTTATGGTACATTCCCTATGTTGCAAAATGCAGTTGCAATGTCAGAGTTACTCCTTATTACTTTTCCTGCCTATCTTACCTCGAAGCCACAGTGAAGGCTGGTCAGGAGCTGGTGAGAGCCAAAATGAGGGCTGGTCAAGGAGACATGAAAGCTGCAATGACCTTCATTTTTGTCCAAATTTGATGACGCCATCAGCAAATGAGTGGAGAGCAGCCTGGCCTGGTGTATATTGACCAGTGAACCCAGGGCCTCTGCAGGAAACTCAGTAGCAAGATATGGGGGACAGAAAGGGACCTTCACAAAGAATACATGGAAATGCATGGGATGTGACTTCTACACTGCAAGGCCGGTTCTTGACGCAGGAGTTGATGACTCAGCTGGTTGTGGATGTTGCAGAAACATAGCAATTGGCATAGATAGGATAAAGCTGCCAGAGTTGTATGGGTGTACTTCCTGGACTGTGTTTTTATGTCAGTTGAAGGCCATGGCAGGTCACAACAAGCAGGTGCCCCAAGAAGGCCACACAGCTACTTGCTGACCTGCAGAAACAACATACTGAGAGATTATTGAGGCACTTGAGAGTCACTGTGTAGACCACCAATTTACCATGTTATACCATGCCAAAATGAAAGCCAGCACCCACCTGATAAGTGAGTCTCTGCAAGAGTTTGACATTGCCCCTGAGCAGTTGGGTCCACCATACCCTTGTTAGGCTACCCCAGTACTTCATTCAGAGAGAAGCAGCTCAAGTCAGTTATCAGTGGGGTAAGAGACTTAAAAGTGAAGCTTCCTCTCCTCAGGGTTGATAGGAGGACACCGGACAGGGCCTTCTGCCAAAGATGGGGGTTAGGGGCTGCACAAAGGCCACAGCAAGCCTGCAAGTGGTAAAGGCTGGAGTGTCCTCCCTTGGGACCATGGCCACCAAAGACTGAGTACAGTAGGACAGGGTAACCCGTATGTTGGCAGTGTAGGGGCGTCAGCTGTCTTAGGAGAAACCGCTGGCAGGGCTACTGCCAGAATGACTTCCCAGAAGGAGGTTGATCAAGACCAGAGAAATGAGTAGAGGATACGAAGAAGAAGGCACTGGTTCCATCACTGCCACTCCATTGTTGCATACTCTGCATGTTGACAATAAAGGAAGATGACAGTGTAAGGGTCTGACACCATTTGCTGGGGCAGTCATAGATGTAACAGGGAGGTCCCTTGGAGTAGAGGCTGGTTTCATGGGATGAGTAACCTTATGGAGGGGGCAATGTGACGTAACACCTAAAAACAAGAATATAGAAGTCAGAGAAGTGTTGTGGAGGTTTCCATTGCTACACAACAGCTTGCTAAATTGTGTTTTCACAGCAGTGAATGCACACACAAGCATTAAACATGGTTCTGTACTGCAGCTGTGTAAGAAGCGCCAGTGAGATTCAGAAGGAAGGATCAGCAGATTACTGCTGTGCTCAGTATAGTCACAGAAGGACCAAACCCACTTATTGAAGAGGAGGCTTCATTTCAGAACACACAAATGTGTTGGAAAAAAACAAATGTATGGTCATGGGTCCCAGTGGGGCCCAAAACCAGAAATGGCTGCAGGTGAATGCCAGCAGCAAATTAGTGCTCTGCACAGAGGAAAGTTGTCGAAATAGAGCCATTGAGCACAGAAGTGTTAAGAATGAATATCCATTAGTGGAGGCCATTACCAGACAGCAAATACATGAAGATATAGCAGACTGGAAGGACTTTAAAAAGTACTGTAGTTTCTTGTAGATGGTGATCAGTAGTAAANTATTTCTGTGTATCTTTTTTTTTTTTTTTTTAATAATCTGTGTGTCACCTTGATTTGTTGGTTATATGAGAGATGTTCTCAGAGGCAAGTACATCACTTTGATATTTTCATGATAGTCACATAATTGCTGGGTGACCTGGAGCATTGTCAACTAACAGCACAGTCTTATATGGCAGGTTATTTTCCTTGCAATATTTTTTAGGCTTGTGCACAGAATGATGGAAAAACAAGTCATGGGAAATAGCTAGTCACCCATGCCTTTGGATTGGATTTGTATACAACAAGCAGCAAAGTCTGCAGTGTTCTTGAAGGCCCAGGGGTTTTCACTGTGGTAAAATGACTGGTTTTTATTTTGCAGTCCCCAGCAGCATTTCCACCAAGCAGGAGCATTAGTCTGTCCTTTGATACCTTGAATCCTGGCTTAGTTTTTTTTCTTCTTTTGCTATGTGCAGAATGATCCAGCATCTCCCCCCCCCCATTATAATTCAGTTTTGTTGACACTGAAAATCTGCTGTGGTAGGTAATCTCATTTTTCTTGATTTACAAGTATGCTGAAGTCTTTGGGATCTCTTTCGGCTACTAGCATGTCTGTACTTGCATCCTCACAAGGCACTTTCATGGTATGCAGTTTGTCATGAGCCTTAAACCCATGAAACCATTCGTGATTTGTGTTGAATGTAGCACCAGCAGCACTCACCATGTTTACAGTTTTAGTCTTTAAAAGACTCAGGGCTTTGTCTCAGCTGAGAATAATGGAAAAAACTGCACAAGTGACACTGTCAGATGCATGTCATTGTGCTAGTTATGCCGTCTTTTGAGTGGCAGTTAATTATTGATTGAGCACAAACTTAACAAAAATCGTATGGAAAGCAGTAACGATATAAATACAAAATACAGTATAAATGTGTATTCTAATGTACTGTATTATGGTATGTAAACCTCATATATCCAGTAGTAATGATTGAAGTTTAAGTATCTAAATTGTTTACATATAAAAACCTACTCTTATATCCTTATATCTGTGGATTCATGTAACTCAGACATATAATTTGGAGACTTACTGTGTATGTAGTAAAGAAATGCATGCAGAAATGTACATTCACACTTTTTTTAAACACAAAGTACATTCTGGCCCAAGTAGGTAGAAGATATGTAGGATAAGAAGTAAGGAGTGACTTTGACATAGCAGCTGCATTTTGGAGCATAGAGAAAAAAATGTGTGTGCATGTGTGCAGATGCATTAACAGTCTAACAGAAATGGAAAAGAAGGATACAAGTAAAATTATAGGGGATTTCAGTGCTGATGTAAGAAGCAGTGGAACATATATGAAGAGATGACACGCTACATGAGGGCAACATAAAGACCAAATGGATTGATCATATAGATTGGATGGTTTGAAAAGTGATTGAATCATAAAATAATGAGATATAGTTAGGGCAGAAATTGGAGAACCAATATTGATTGTGTAAATATTATGACAGAGGATTTGAAACGTTCTGACGAGATGATATATTTTCATGCTCACTCCTACCAGTGCAGAAATGTAGAAAGAACTGCTGTCTGTTGTTCCTCTGCTTGAAATACAAGAAGAGATGTCAGAGAATGAGAGAATGTAGAGAGCATGGAGTCAGTGTCAAGGCCAGTGTTAAAGGTTAAGATACTAAACAAACAAACAAACTCCATGACCTGCAGTCTGCATGCGAACTATACCGACTGAGCGACCGCCACTTGTTGGCGAAGTTAGTGCCAACTTTGGGGCGCACCATAGCTCAAGCAGTTAGTCGGTGGCTTCCCACCACGGCGGCCTGGGTTCGGCCAAGTGGGATTTGTGGTGGACAAAGTGGCGCTGGGGCAGGTTTTCTCCGAGTACTTCGGTTTCCCCTGCCAATCTTCATTCCAACAATTGCTCCACAATCATCCTCACCTATCATCTGGGGCTGGTACAATAGGCCAGAAGTGGCTGCAGTGCAAGGGACTTAGTCCCACCCCCACTAGCAATAATAAAAAAAAGCAATAGTGCCAACTTTAGTGGATAGAAGGTGTCACGTGGTCAACGCAGTGGATCCCCATGGCCGTTAATTTTGGTTTTCTAGACCCGAGCTGCAATTTCCTTGAAATAGCTCCTCAATTATCATCATGAGGCTGAGTGGACCCCATTCCAGACCCACTACTTATCAGAAAATCTGGTAGCGCCAGGAATCGAACCCGGACCTCTGGACTTGTAGCCAGGAACTCTAACCACTAGACCACAGAGGCCATCAAGGTTAATTATCTACAAAATAAGGAAATCAGATAATTTGAAAAAGACGGTAAAAGATAAATAACAGGATGAAATCAAGTCAGTGGAAGATTGGAAACTGTTTAAAACTATATCAGTAACACCATGGAAAGAAGTATTTTGCAGAAGTGTTAAAGAAGCAAAATGTGGTACATGGTGCAGGTTCAAAGTAGTAAGAAAAAAAAATACAGAAAGGTCAAAGAGAGTGAAAAATACGACAAGAAAAATGATAATTTTTGCAAGGGAGAGCCACAGAAACTTCATGGATGGTTTAGAAGAAAGTCATAAGACAACAAATGAATCTGCAGAGTAACACAAAAGATATTAAAGTAAGACATGGATGACCAAGGACAGTTAACACATTGCAGATGAGTCATATTGAAAGTTGATTTAAATCTCATGCATTGCTTATCTGTAATCATCATAATCTGTGCCTTTCAGTAATTATATATAATAATTCTACCAGTCAGTCTTCACAGTTTGTCCCAGAACTGTGGGAGTCTGTTGTAAATACTGATTTAAATAATGGAGCATTGTTGTGTCTGTAGTTGTTTACAGTCAGAAATTACGTTGCTGTGCTTCCTACCAGATAAGGCATGTGAACCATGCCCTTAGATACAGCAAGAATGCAAAGTCATGCATTTGTTCCACTCCGTTCCCTGTACAGCTTTATGATTTTTTGCAGTATCAATCATGGATATATGTATCAGAGTTACTTATCCACTAATTGAGGTTAACCATTTTTAAAAGACTCAACAGAGTGCGTGTCTCCCACCCTTTTCACCTCAGGATGGACACAGATCCAGGTCCTGAAACATGTTCTTAGTGTTTTGTTAGAATACCAGACGATGGGCAGAGACCAGAAAGCTAGTAATTCTGAGTTATACACAATTGACAGAACCCTTCAGAACCTGCATTTAACATAATGACTTCTTATTTAATTTGTATGACCTAGAGAACCTTAGTTATTGAACAGGCAAGTGGCCTTCATATAACTGATGATTTCTGGTGAACTTTATGCAGATTGGTTTTCAGATGTATTCACAGATGAAAGTACTGACAGCCATGTACTGTCTCTGTTTTTAGATGTGGTCATTCACAACAGAATGTTCAGTGGCTCTGATGTAGTCTGTTAACGGAGATGCAGATTGTGGGAAGTGGGTTAGTCCAAGGCCTTAAGAGTATGTTACCCTCCCTCCCACAGTGCAACTGCAACCACTGCCCCACAATTCTTGCTGTATCTCTCATGTGCATCCCAAAGACCATTACTCCTAATCCACTATCATTAATTAAGGGCAGGTGTGTAAATTTATACATTAATTTAAGTGGTTATGATATCAAAGTCTGACAAACATGGTTCTGTGTATGCCTTTATTCAACCAAATGTGGCAAAATGCGCTTATATACTTCAGCACAAACTCTGTTACATTGACTTGAAAGTGCAGCTGACTGCTTGTCACCATCTAGTGCCAAACTCTAGAATACATGGAGCTTTGCCTCCATGTTCTTTGTATACCCTTATGGTATGATGTTTACAAATTAGAGCATCTTTCATTTTTACAAGTGTAATGTAAATTGTATTGTTGCTCAGGTAATGGTGAATCACTGCGTGTTGCGAAGGTTGAGCCATGGAATTCTGTGCGGGTGACATTCACCATCCCAAGGGAAGCAGCACTAAGACTACGTCAGCTGGCACAGGAAGGTGACCAGGCTCTCACACAACTTGGCATTCTCTCAGTGCAAGTTGAAGGGGATCAGGTAAATATTTAAGTATGGCACATGGTTAGATTATGCCTTAGTTAAAGTATAAAAATTGTTGAGGCCTCCTAGGTGGCTAGCAGTTATTCAGACTCCCTTTAGGAGTTTCTGTGGAAGTGGAGGAAATTACAGCTCTGCAGCACATTGTAGTTGTTGCACTAAGAAGGAATGTTGACTGCTTGGCCATGACATTTGGTTGTAACTAATAAACTTGTAAGATATTCTCTAACTAAAGCTTTGCAACATAGGAACAGTTGATAAACTGTATTTAATTTAGTTTTGGTGATTAAGTAGATGATTATTTTGAGATAAAACATGAAATATATGATATAAATAGAAAATTGTTTCAGTCTGGTGAACTTAGTGGAATGTGCAGAACCCCTGGGGAATCTTTTTATTGAACAAAGTTTGGGAATCATTGCACTAGACCAATATCAGTGTGTTAAACGATGAAGGCCACTCCTCAAGAGTCAAGGCATAATGTCTCATTCCTACTGTGGCTGCAGGTACTCCCTCACCAGTGGAACATGAATAATTGTCATTTGACATCTTGGATAATACTGCATCATTAATCATTCCATTGATAGTGTGATGCTTCATTTCATTATACAGATTTTGTGAAACATTTCATTATTCTGTTATCCTTATCTTAAGATCAAGAAATTTATGTGAAGAATGTTACAGGTTCTACAAGATCACTATTGAAGGTTAGAAGTCAACACAGTGCTGGAGCCGTAGATATAGTCTAACCCCATGCACTCTGTCCAAACAACCCCAACTTCACGAAAGCACCATAATATTATGGTGGCCACGTTTTTAGTCTGTGAACTTGCACAGTATGTGTTACAGAGCTTTTGAACCTCCTCCCTTATAATAAAAATTTGAAAAACACCTTTTTTTTTTAGGTTATTTCACTACGCATTGCTGGTCGTTTTGGAGGGGAGGCACAAGAGATTGTATTAAGAACAGCCAGTTCTGGATCTCATGGAAGTGATGAAAGTGGAGGTTCATCATCTGTCTCGGGGCCCACCCCCATTGCTGCAGGAAGTGCATCTGGGAATTCTGTCCCTTCATCAAGCAATGCATGTCTGACCCAGGATGGTGCCACTGTTGCTGGCCCAAGCCATGCAACTAGTGGTACTGTGGCAGGTCTGGCCAACATTTTGGCACAGTCTGTAGCAGCAACTGTGGGAGGTATGTATTTGTATATTCAAGCCATATGTGCAAATTTTTAAGAATTGAGAGGCTTAGTAAAATTATTTTAACAGGAGCTTTACCACCAAAATAGAAACAACAGGTTTGCAGGCAGCAGTTTCATAATAATTTTTTCATACATAACACATATAGGAGTGATTATTTAAAATATATTGCAGCATATCATCTTTACTGGTGCTACAACTGCGTTTGGGTCTTGGCTTCCTCCGTGGTTTTGTAACAGTACATTTTTCCAAGGTTCTCTTTAGTCCTATGCCCAGACCCTAACCTGAAGGACTAGGGATTACACTTCATGTGACCCCAACCCTTTGACCTTTGTGGCATGGGTGACCCTACCAGGAGCATATGCTCCCACCGTCATAACTCTCTGAATCAGTCAGGCAGACAGACCTCCATAGTAATGCGGTAGTCCTCGAGGAGGATATTGCAACATATGCAAGCTAATTACAGACTGAAGAATTCCAAGTAAAGACAGAAACATTCATAAATTCCAAGTAAAGTCAGAAGCATTTATAAATTCAATTAGGAATGTACAACACATGTAACTTATTATGCAAGAAACATGGGTCTAATTATGCATCTTCTCACTTAATCATAGGCCTCCTGGTGTAAATGTTACCAGCATAGAGAGATATATTGGTATAATTTCGTTTTAACGTGTAATTTTGCACGATGAACAACAAATGTGAAACATTCGAGAATGAAGAATAAGATGTCATTTTAGTAAAAAAGTATATTACATTATATTAACTTAGTAAGGTAAATTGTCTGAAAAACATGATTGACAACAACTTATTGTGACTTTAGTGCTAAAGGCCAGAATAGTGGAGCCAGAAGAAACTGCCATTTCCATGCAGTGGTTCAGTAAACACCTCACTGTGCCATTGAATGCACAAGCAGCAGTAGAGGAACTGTTGGCCCATTGCTTAGGCAATGCAGTGCTTTTGTGTATGGTTTATATCAAGGTAATATATAGCACAGATTGAAACTGATGGGGAGTCAGTTGTGGCTAGGAGGTCATCAGTTGTAGTTAATTAGTTGTGAGGTGGTAACCAGGCAGCAATGACATGAGCATGGGCATATAGGAGTTGCAATGTAAGTCACCACTACCAAGCAACAACAAGCAACGTCCAAGACATAGTGTATGTTATATTGATTTGTTGACTGTGTAGATAGTGCTGTAATCCTTTGCAGTTGCTAGTTTCAAGAGTTCAGTAAATCCAATTATTAGTCCAAACCCTGTGTACAGTCACTAGTACATGACAATATGTTGTTCCTGTTAGAGAAATAGGCCTCATTTGTGTCTTTCTACTGTCCTTTAAAGTCCATTGTAGGATTTCCATGGCCTTTCTCATGTCCTATAAACTAGCAGTTTTTGTACGAAATATTTTATAATATAAACTGTGTTATATACATGTTGTATACTTCATGTACAATAAAGTAAAGCTCTTTCATCATTTGAAAATATCTGGAATATTCATGTGGACACCTTTGTTTTCATCAGAAAAGCTACTGGTATCCCCAACCTGGAATACATTTTTCATTGGCATCAAACTCCCTGATGTGTTTCACTTTCGTTAGACACATGCAGCCCATACCTTTTAATGGCCTAAAGGTAATTCCACTTCTCCCACAGTATTTGAGGTTCTCACAGCAATTGATATGAAAAGTACTGTCTTCTGGAATGTAACAGTTGGTAGATGTTGCCAACATTTGAATAATAGGTATAAACTTATAATTGATAGGTTGTTTAGGTGTCAGATGGATTGAACTAACTTAGGAAAGTTTACAGTTAAGTTTATTTCAGTCCAATGTGACATATAATGCCTTCACCACTTCAGCACTTAGTTACCTAACATGTTTCGATTCTTAATGAATCATCATCAGAGGTGTATCACTACGATCAGGAACCCAGCTATACGTCAATGTTTTTATAAGACTATATACACTTAAAACATTTATGGTGCTCACTATATGTAGTTGTTAATTTTCCATTGTCGAAATAGATGTTTGACGAAAACTTTTATAATAAGAACATTCTTGAAGTATATTACTTAGAAGAGACATAGTTTGCGTAGACACAGTCTGCGTAGAAAACAGCACTTTCCATCATTGTATCATCTTTTAGCCATGGAATTGTTGCATTTATGTTTGTTGGCAAAGGTGTTACCTAGCAACTGCTGTTGTATAGTTGCTTATTTTGCTGTCGTTGCCTAGCCTTGTGTCCACATGCCACAATATGAATGACTGTCAAGTCCTGGAGGAATAACTTGTATGATGGGTTGGTTTATTGGTTTTGTTTAGTTGACGTTAGTTTGGTTTGGTTTAGTTCAGTTTAGTTTTATGAAGGTAAATCGAAAATTCTTTGCGCCTATTTTTTTCAGCCACAATAATACACGTACAGGGAAATCAAAATACAGGAAGTGTCCTAAGTACCTTTGACTACTTTTCCACATAGTCACCACCCCAGTTCAGGCATTTGTCCCATTACACCGCTAGTTTGGAGATGCCGCTGTGGTAGACTTCGGCTGGTTGAGCATGGAACCACCGCTAGACAGCGGTTTTCGTGTCGTCGGAAATGAACCTCTGGCCTGCCAGGAACTTCTTCATTGGACCGAACACGTGGTAATCACTGGGCCTGAGGTCTGGACTATACGGTGCATGCTCCATAATCTCCCATTGGAATGACTGCAGTTGCATCTGGGGATTCTCATGGACGATATGGTTCTCCTCCATGACAATGCCAGGCCTCATGTGGCATGTATTTTATGCCTCATGTATTATTGTGGATGAAAAAAACATAAGGGAAAAGACTTTTTGATTTGCCCTCGTAGTTTAGTTTAATAAAATTCAGTTTAATTCAGTATCATATTAATGCATTATTTTTATTTTTTACAGTTGCTGGAGTTGCACCTTCCACAGAACAATTTCGTAGCCCAAATGTTGTGGCGCCAGCAGATGGTGACCCCATTCCTCCATTTCCACCACCCAAACCTCCTTCAGATTCTGTGCCTAGCCCTAATGTGATACCACCAGCAGGACAGTCTGTTGTAATGGCCTCAGCTTCTCGGGGTTCTGCACATCATTACCATGCACCCTTCCCTTACGCAAGCATGAATCATGCAGCACATGCTATGCAGAGTAGGGTGTCAGAGTCAAATCACCACCATCATAATTCCACACCTGTGGCCACAGGAACAGGGAGTTTTAACCATCATAGTTTTGCAGCGCCACCACCCCCTCCTTATCCTGGCTCTTCCCCTACACCCACTCAAGGTTCTAGTGGAAGTGTTAGTGGAAATGCCTTACAACAGCCAGCATCAGTGCAGCCTTGTAAACCTCAGGCAGGCCAGCCTTATTGTCCAGCAAATAAACCATCACAGCAGCCAGGGGTAGTTGGCCCTAGGACTGTTGGTACCAACAATGTGGCATTGTCAAGTCCACTGCTTGTAAATTTGCTGCAGAATGATGGATCCACAGGTGTCTGTCAACCTACAGCAAGCTCAGGTATGATAGTTTATTATGAATTTGGTGGGTGGGATGAGAATGCATACAAAATTTTAGTGAGGAAACTGGGAGAGATAAGGTAACATGTGAAATCTGGAAAGAGATGGAAGGATAATACAAAGTGGTTCAAATATGACAGTGACTGATTCTTTTTTTTTAAACCAAAATTGCCAAACACTTACTTGCACATGTTAGTCTTCAATGTACTCCCCTCCGCTGTCAGCACATTTTTCCCAACGTTCTGCAAGCATCCTGATGCCCTTTTCAAAAAAGTTTTGTGGTTGGAGACGTATCCACTCCCGAACATTCTGGATGACGGCGTCGTCCACAAACCGCATTCCTTGCAAGTCTGATGTGAGCCTTCCGAACAGGTAGAAATCACTTGGTGCCAAATCGGGACTGTACAGTGGATGTGTCAGAAGGTTCCATTTCAATTTCCGGAATGTTTCCATTGTTGTTTTGGCCGTATGGGGGCATGCATTGTCTTGAAGGAAGGCTACCTGCTTTCCACCTCTCTTCCGCTTGGATCGGATCTTTTCCTTCACGTCTGTTGCCAGGAGGTCTGTGTAATAAGCTGCATTGACTGGTTTGGCATCTGTCAGAAAGTCTACATGGATAACCCCCTGCCAGTCCCAGAAGAACATTGCCATCACTTTTCCTGCCGAACAGCTCCTCCGCTCTCTCTTGGGTTTGGGAGAACTGGTATGCCGCCACTCGCGTGATGATTGCTGGGACTCGGGAATGAAGTAGTGCGCCCACGTTTCATCGGTGGTCACTATAGACTTCAAAAATGCATCACCTTCGTTTTCAAACTGCTGTAGGAGGCAACTGGCAACTTGCATGTGCACCATTTTGTTCACGTCCGTCAAAGTGCGTGGTACTCACCATGCATTCACCTTGCGATAGTGCAGGTGGTATTTCATGATGTCTTCTACACTACCAACACTGATGGACAGCATTGCTCCAAGTTCCTTGATAGAGATGCGCCTACTCTCACGAATAAGTGCGTCTGCACGATCAATGTTTGACTTGGTGATGGATGTTCGCGGCTGACGATCATGCGGTTCATTCTCCAAGCGCACACTGCCCTCTCTGAAGCACTTACACCACTCAAACACACGGGTCCGTGAGAGACACTCTTCCCCATACTGTTGTTGGAGTCTGTGGTGAATTTCAGCGGACGGGACGTTTTCTCCAACCAGGAATTTGATCGCAATGTGTTGTTCCACGCTTCGCAGTACCTTCTGTTCACTCATCACTCTAGCAGCTTCCAGACAGGACTGAACAGGTTCTAACCCTAACAGGAGGGAAGGGGAGGTTGTGGTTTCACTCTCTCAAGGTCGCACAGCTGCTGCACAGTTTGTTTACAAAAAAAAATAAATCCCGGTCATATTTGAACCACCTAGTATTAAAATCCATCATAACTTGAGTGTGCATGTGTGGACTGTGTTCATACCTTGGATAAGGTCCAGAAGTCTTCTTGTGAACACTAATGAGCATTGGATTTCCATAAAAAGCAGATCACTTATGTACAAGCTCAGCAGCTGTCAGTTTCTCAGGAAGGACTGTGCTCCATGAAGTTAGTTAATAATTATTAAATAATATTCGTGTTTGTGTGATGATGTCTGTTTTACCAGCATATGACATCAATTTTATCTTCTATTTAGTCCTTTATGACCTTTTTTTGTGGTCATATTTGGTACATATTTCCCAAACATTGTAGTGTAATTAGATACAGCTGATCAGTTCTCCTTACAAATCTTTTAGTCAGTTTTTAGTAGGAATGTTTAAAGACGTAAACATTGATTATTTCATATTGTGTTTTATGTTACTACAAAAATGTTAATGTTATGTACAGGAGCAAATAAAATGCTACCTCCTCCGCCAGGGAGTATCTCAAGTGTGGGAGATAAGCCAGCAGTAGTTGGCAGAGTCAGAGGTTCACAGCCACAGTCATTGCAACAACAGCAGCAGCAGCAAATGAAGAAAGTTTCAGTGCGACGAAGACCAGGTGAACCTCCAACACCAGTGGGTACCAACACGCTCCACCAACATACAGACTCTACTTCCACTTCATGCAAGCTTCAGCAGTTGCACCACCATGCTTCCCATCAGCAATCTGCCTTTGTTAATGCAGTTGGTGTGTCGTCTTATCAAGTTGGCAGCTCCTCCACATCTTCTACACCATCTCCGCCATCTGTTCGTACTGATTCTCCAGGCTTGCATCATCGGACTTTACTTAACCCACAGCAGGCTCATGGAATCTCTGAATCTAGTGCTGCAAGTCACCAGCCCTCTGGAGTTCCAGTACAGCAGGCAGTCTCAAACTCTGTTGCCGTTGCAGCTTCTGCATCTGTCCCTACCCTTTCAAATCATCAGATCATCTCAACAGTCCCTTCACCTCATCCCCGACATCATCCATCTACATCAGCTCTCCAGCAGAAGTTATATCCCACAGGAACCCCACCAGAGCAATCTGCATTTGCATCCACATCAAGAGGTCATCAGATGCAAGCAGGATCATTGTCACAACAGCATCAAACTCAGCAGCTTGCTCAGCCTGTCACACATCATCAACCACAACAGGTGGTTCAGTCTCCAGCAGCGTCTGTTAGGTTACAACAGCAACAGAGACCATTGCCCCTTGAGAGGCTTCAGACTTCAGCAACACCCATGGCAGCTGGTGTTGGTACAGTCATGACATCACGGAATACTGGGAACACTGTACTCGCACGTCAGCAGTCTCCACATTTTACTCAAGGTCCTGGGATCCAGTCAGCCTCTAACCCTCCTCCATACCCCCGCATCCACCAACAGCAGCAGCATCAACAGGCAAGGCTACACCAGCAGCTTCAACAAAGAACTTTGCATCAGCCACCAACAAAGGACCCAGGAGCGATTCAACAACAGACTCAGCAGCAGCCACAAGTGAAACCTTTAACTTATGGCCTGAGCACCAGTGACTATTCACGGCCTTATGGAGATGCTCGTGGTGTAGGTAATTCATCAGCTCTGGTCACAAATAGTTCTGGCAAACCAGTACATCAGCCAGTGCGCCATCAACAAGGTACAATGCTAACTTCCTCCACAGCAGTTGGGACTGGTCAGAATACTTCTGTAGGTGGTTGGCAGCTAGCCAGAGTTGGACAACCACAACAGAGTTTTGTCACAGCAAATCATTCGATAGCACAGCAGCCATCACAGCAACATCAGCCTCAGAATAATACTAGCATGATCCAGCAACAAAGAACAGTGTTTCAGCATCATTACATAACTCCACATCAACAACAACAATCCTCACAGGATCAGCAGGGTTGCAGAGAAGTTGGAGAGGCTCTCAAAGATACTAGTCATCTGGTGGCAGAAGCAACAGAACCTATTCCCAGTCCTCCTGCCTCATCACCACCTCTCACTTCTCGAGGCAAGCGTCGGCAGTTCCTCATTAATCCTTTAACAGGTCACTTGGAACCAATGCCAAGTGAAGAGAGCAGTTCTGAAAGTGAGGCAGAGAACCCCTCCAATTCAGGAACAGGGGCAAATTCTAAGCCCAGTGATACAGCTTTGGATGATCCTTTTTTTTACTTTCCTTCTCCTCTAAATGATCGATCTAATAACTCATTATTTTCTGATGATGATGATGATGTCAGCAGTACAGGTACGATATCCAGGAGAGCTGATACAACCACTACAACAGATCAGTCTGATTCTGAGGCAACTGTGAGGTCAACTGGTAGTGACGGATCCTCTTCAACTGTTCGGCATCACCATCACAGACCTAGGAAACCATGCAGCCCAACCCAGCAACTTCCAGCTCAATCAGGGGGCCCAGGAGAGAAGATCAAACTCCGGCTGAAGCTTGAAAAAAGTGAACCTGTGACTTCAGCTTACAAAGTTGATGTCTCATTTGTCAATGTTCCAGCAGCCAGGAAAACTGATGGGCGCTCAAGTTCCATTGCTGGTGGAAGGCTGTTTGGTGGGTCTGCAGGTGGACAGGCAGGTACAACAGGCCCATCTAGTGTCAGTAGCTGTGTTGGCATGAGCACACCTGGTCAGACTGGGGAAGAGCCACGAGTTCCTCCCCTACACATTTCTCTTCGTGGTCGCAATGCAGCTGTTGTTGTGAGTTCCCATAAAGAAAGCAGTAAGAAGTGGCAGCATAACAAGGATGTGTTTAGTAGTAGTGCCAGTGGTAGCAGCAGTGTAGGTAAATCTGGTGTGCCATCTTCTACCAGTAAAAGATCATCATCGTCAGGAAAAATTAATCGTTCATCAAAAATTCGTGACAGTGCAAACTTGGTGGGAACAGGGGGAACAGACAGTGCACTGGGGGAAGGGGGGGCAGGAGCTGTTGTTAGAATAAAGAAACCTCCCACAAATATTTATACGACAACAATACCTGTTACAGCAGGGAAAACATTCTCAAGTGGTAAAATTTCAACTAAAACTCTTCTAAAAACCAGTGCAAGTGATTCGTCATCTACAAAGAGACAGCAGCACATGAGTACTTTGATGCCAAATGAACGGACGGTGGGATCAGATATTGTTCCTAAGGTTAGAACAAAACTGAAAACTTCTGATAAGCGAGGTGGTGAACGTGATCGGGATCGGGACTTGGATGATGTTCCATTGAAGGCTCGTATGAGGAACGAACCGGGTGAAATTGCAGGGTCAGGATCAGGAGTGAGTTCTCAGCAGCAGCGTGGAGGGAAAATGTCAAGCAGCAGTAGTACAGCGGAGTCAGGAAAAAATTTTCCTTCTGGAATGGAAGATCCAGAGTTCACACTTTTACGCAAGCAAATAGAGAAGGAAAGAACTGGAGGTTCCAAGGCAACTGCATCAGTAACTGAACACAAAGTTTCAGGCGTGAGTGTAGGCAGTAAAGCTAAGCGAAGGGACTCTAGAAAGAAATCATCTTCGTGTAATTCAGGAAAAGAAAGTTCTTATGTGCGAGAGCAGAGCTTGTTATCTGGTGGTGGGATAGTAGACAATCAGGTTCGTGATGGTTTGCCAGTTAATACAGCCAGGTGTAGGAAAGTTGAATCTAGCCAAAACATTACCAATAGTGTCAGTCTGAGTGGGAAAGCACCACGTTCCCCATCCCCATCACTGATTCGACATAATAAGTCACAGTCGGAAAGGGTGGATTCTTTGCAGAAGAATGTAGGGACAGGCTGTAAAGTGAGTATGCCTCAGACTGCTGCAGTTAGAAGAGGTAGTGAGAGTGATGGCAGGGGTGAGAATGGTGTAAGGAACAGTGCTTCTGATGAAAAAAGAAGACGACAAAGCCCAGAAGGTAACAAGGATCTCACAGGAGGTGTTATGGGTACGTATAGTTGAGGAATCTGATAACTTTTTGAATGTACTACAGTCTGGTAGAATTAAACCTTTGTAGTACTAAAGGAGAAGCTTACAGTTATTCTGCTTGAAGGAAAGTGCCAACTATAATTTTATGCTTCTTTCTTTCTTTCTTTCTTTCTTTCTTTCTTTATTTATAAAAGTGTGTGCACTGGCCAACTAAATTAATATTGTAAGATTACAGTTTTGTTTTGAGGCAACCTATAACACCTGTAGCTGTGGAATTGAGTTGTGTCCTCTGTACAGACTTCCCGTGTGCTTTCCTGTTGTGACTTCTTTATAAACAACCCTAATAATAGTATCATTGTTAGAATGAAGTTGAAGTCACATGACCATACCATTCACACTTGTTCAAGGTCCTGTCAGTTTGGAGATAGCATCTAAATAAATCAAAGGAAAACAAGAGTACAATAATAAAATAAAGCTTTGCTAACATGTTTGTATTTGGTGCAGGGGGTGGCGAGTGAGGGTAGATGGTTGGCCAGCCTCAAAAAATATAACACAGTGCTCTCTCACACAACAGGATAAATAATTTATATTAATCACAAATGCAGTATTACAGTCTAATGTTACAGTTATACCGTATTTAAGCATCCTGTTGCATTAGTTAGTGCTATAAGCAGTCTTAAATTGCAACATGTAAGTACCACTTAACCTGTGTTTCCATGAAAATACATTACATGATTTTTGCCCCACTGGACTGTCATCAAGTATGTATGATGATCTGTGTAAATTGTTACACTGTAGTGTGGTACTGTATATAGCTAGTGAGTCCTGTAAATATGAAAGTTTAATATTTAAAAACCAGATTGGTTTTTGGTTAAATAATTTGAGAACAATTTAAAATGACATGTTGTGTGTTGTCCTGTTCTTTCTTTGTTCTGTCTTTTTTGACAGCAGTACGTTCTTTGTACACGGTACCTTGGTTATGTGTGCTCCAGTGTGGACTGCAATGGTTCCATTGGGTGCCCAAAAACAACAAAATGGGATGAACATGAGAGACACAATACACCATTATAAGTTTTTCAAATTATTTTGGCAAAAATCAGCTTGGTTGTTTAAAAAAATAAACATTTATATGTACAGGCCTGATGGGCTGCATAGTATTACAGTACAGTGTAACAGTTTACACAGATCATGTATACCTGATGATGGCCCTGTGTGGCCGAGAAATGTCATGAATTTGCATGGAAGCACAGACTAAGTGGTATACATGTTTTGACTATAAGTCATTCTCAGTTTCATGAAGCAGTTTAATATTTTTTGTTAAATTAATCTTTTCATACAAATAGTCGTGTTGATGACAAAATTCAACCTCTTTATTACAGCCGCCACAACACAACAACAAATATCAAGATCAGTGCCTAGTTTCGGCTCTGCTACATGTTTCGGCTATTAATAGCCATCATCAGGCAAATACATGGTTAACATACGAGGGGGGACCCAAAAATAACCGGAAGCAACCTGTTGCACGCGCATGCTTTGTAGTTACAAGTTGTGCTGCTAGCTGGTGTTAGCTGGGGGTCTCCTGCGACCGTTAGTGAGCTGGCGTCAGTCTGAGTTAAGTGGTTTGTCTGTGGTGCTCTGTTGTGTGCGTTCCTGTTTCAACCCTTTGGCGATTAGTGAGATGGCTGACCAGAAGGAACAAAGAGTGTGCGTGAAATTGATGAAGATCGTCAAAAGACCATTGACCAAGTTTCTGAGGAAACGAACATCTCATGGAGCACGGTCCAGCGAATTTTAACCGAAGGTTTGCACATGAGACGGGTGTCTGCAAAATTTGTTCCTCGCTTGTTCGGAGATGACCAAAGAGAAAACAGCGTGAATGTTTGCCGCGACTTGAAGAGTGACGTGCAGTTTTCCCTAACAGAAAGCAAAATTTCACGCACACTCTTTGTTCCTTCTGGTCGGCCATCTCACTAATCGCCAAAGGGTTGAAACAGGAACGCACACAACAGAGCACCACAGACAAACCACTTAACTCAGACTGACGCCAGCTCACTAACAGTCGCGGGAAACCCCCAGCTAACACCACCTAGCAGCACAACTCGTAACTACAAAGCGTGCGCGTGCAACAGGTCATTTCCGGTTATTTTTGGGTCCCCCTTCGTATATACACCACTGAACTGCAGTACTGGTAAATTTGGATACAATATTATTAATTATATAAAACACTTGACATAAAATACAATAAATCAGATTATATAAAGCAGAAGTTATAGTATAAAACAAGAATCAAATTCTTAGATTGATGTTTAATATCATCGAATCAGTTGTTGGTTTTGTAATTTCGTTGTGTTCCCATGGACAAATTGGAATGTTCTATATTTTGTGTATGTAAAATTGTATAGGAGGCTCATGATGTAGATGAAGTAAATTAATGTTAATTGTTTAGTTGGTAGGGAATGTAAACAATGACTTGTTTACATTCCCTACAGAAGGGACAATACTTTTGTAATATGAGACACCGACTAAACAATTAACATTAGTTTACTACATCTACATCACGAGCCTCCTATACAATTTTACATACACAAAATGTAGAGTATTCCAGTTGTCCGTGGGAATGCAACGAAATTAAAAAACCAGCGACTGATTAGATGATACAAAACATCAATCTAAGAATTTTATTCGTGTTTTATATTATAACTTCTGTTTTATATAATCTGATTTATTGTATTTTATGTCAAGTGTTTTATATAATTAATAATAATGTATCCAGTTTTACTAGTACTGCAGTTTAGTGATATATATATGTTAACCATGTATTTGCCTGATGATGGCTATTGATAGCCGAAACTAGGCACTTATCTTGATATTTGTTGTGTTGTGACGGTTGTAATAAAGAGGTTGTATATTGTAACACAGCAGGATGCATGAAATGAAAAAGATGACAAAATTGTTAACATTAAAATGAAATAAAATTATGTAACAGGTAAATATTGAGCTGTTATGTTGGAAGTGGTGTCTTCGGCTTAACATTTCATGTAGCAATCTCATTGTGTTTTATAAAAATATTTCTGGTTGTGTAGTATTTGTATTATTATTACTTATAGAATCTTTGGATTTGTTGTGTTAATGGTATCTGTAGAAGCTAAGAATGGACATAAAATACCAGATCACAGGTAGCAGTTGCATAGGAAGACCTCAAGAAAGGTGATGAAAGATTCTGTCTTGTAATCGTTGGCCAACCATATTACTGGGGAGGATGCTGAATAAGCCAGTGAATGTACACGTTTCAGTGTTGTCATTGTAGCCAAGCAAAAACTGCTTGTAGATGAACAGAAGGAAACAGGAGACTGAAGATACATGCCTTTTAGGGCATCATGAGGCTGTAAACCTCAGAACCCCCGAAAAACTGCACTTCATAACCCTCATTAAGAAATGGGGTAATAGAGGAAGCTAATGATGCTTGCATCAGCTGTAGCACAGTAGATGTAGAACGGTGGTATTGGTGAATATGTAACAGTATGCAACTTGAACAGAGTAGCCGAGGCATGGGAAAATGCGGAGTAAGTAGAACACAACTGTTAAATGCCTTAAGCTGTTTGTGTGAGAGAATAGCTATCAGAAAAATCTAGGATAGTGTCTGGGGGACATTCTTTCAAACACCTAAGTAATATTCTGAGTGTTCAGTAGTAAAGATTACATGGCTGTTGCCATGAGCATCCTAACACTGTAGGTTAGGGATGAGGAGTGAAACTACCAACAGCATGGGATCCACCAGAGCAGCCCTTCTCTTCCTTGTGGTGATCTTCACCAGATGTAAGTGGACCTCATAATAAAGACAGATTATCAGAATTTTACACCTAATGCATAAACTGGGCCTAGCGATAGGTACTATAGGATGATAGCTTCACCATGCAAAAATGGTTTCAACATGTGACTTGTGTAAGGTTATACCTGGCAAATATTGTAATAAGTGTAAAATACTTAACCTTTATGTAATCAGACCCTGTGAGTGAAGCTTATTCTATGAACTCATACCCAAAGAAGTAATGGTGATCCGTGTGGTGGTAGCAAGAAATGTGAATTGTTTGACTATTCCCTCTGATGTTCTCAAACTCAGGCACTATTTTTAGAACGCATGGTCCATTCTGATCCTTTTGGAATTGGTAGTCTGACAGTGAAATAACAGGAAGCAGTGTAGTGGAAAGAAACAGTAAGAGAGAGAGACTGCTCAGCTACAAGAGCGGAGGTAGTTCCATCTACCTTTGATGATGGCAATGAAACCTTCATGGAGGTGTTAACGGCAGCTCCAGAACATTTACTGTTACGTTTCTACTCCATTGTACAATCTTCATAATATAATTGTCTAACCTGTGTAAAACTGAAGTGACAGGAATTATCAGGATTGTTGTCTTTGGAGACATGATATTATGTAGTTTTGTAGATGAGTAAGAACATTTTGGAGGACCCTGTGACTCTCATCTTCTCCCCTGAAATGGACAGAGTAGGTTCTTCCAAAACATTGGCACCATCTGTGAAACTATGTGGCATACCAAACCAGAAAATCATAAATTTGATACTGGTGTGAGAACCTCAGATCTCACAGAGAGGGATGCTGCTTCAGTAGCTTAGTAAACAAAAGAGTGGAACTATGCAACTGGGAGTGCACATACATACAAGATGATCTGTTTGGGTGTGGATAAAAATAAAGTATTAAGAAAAGGAGGCGGTAAGTGGCATATGGCACTTTGTTATGTGTTAATACAGTTTGTAGGTCAAGTGGGATTTGTGGTGGACAAAGTGGCACTGGGACAGGTTTTCTCCAAGTACTTCAGTTTCCCCTGCCAATCTTCATTCCACCAATTGCTCCACAATCACCCTCACCTATCATCTGGGGCTGGTACAATAGGCCAGAAGTGGCCGCAGTGCAAGGGACAGTCCCACCCCACTTACTCATGGAGCTGAGCCCTTTTGGAGAGCCGCCAATTCTGCGGCTACTCAAGAATTTCGCAGCATTTT